GAATTCCTTTCTTTCTTGTCCTGGGCGGCTGAACAGAGTTTCCTCTGGCTATGGAGCTTTTCTCCCAAACACTCTCGTGACACCTATTTCTAATTTTCTGACGTTCTGTTCTGATGCATGCTTTGTTTAGGAGAATATGGAATGATGGGAAGTAATGTGGTATTCGTTTAAAAAAAAATAATGAGCACTTTTGGGAGCTTGAAGTTATTCCAGCACAAGGACAGGGGTTAAAAAAACAAAACCAACAAAAATCCTACTCCAGTGGTCCAAGGCAGGACTCAGGAGACTTGACAACAGTGAGAGGTGAAGCAATGGAGTAAAGGAAGAGAGGGGATACAATGTAAAGCACCCTCTTTAGAGACTTCAAAGGAAAAAGACATCTGAACAGGAGGCTGTCTGGAGGGAGCTCCAGATGGTGTACCCATGCAAAAGCACTGGCAAGAGCGAATGCGTCTCTGTCTCCATATAGGACTGAGGACCTTGGGGCTGCAAGACTTGGAGGGGGCAGAGAGGGTAAAAATGTCATCAGAGAGGTGAAGGGCGGATAGTATGGGTCAAAGAGTAGATACTAAGGGCTTGACTTTTATTCAGAGAGCTGAGAAGCCACTAGAAGACTCTGAGCTGACAATCCCTGTCGAAAGAAAGCTAAGAGGTCAATTAGAGGGCTATCCTGAGCTGAAGGATTATCCCCTTCCCCCAGATGGATATGCTGAAATGTCTCCAGTCCTTCAGAATGGGACTCCATTTGAAAAGTGGCTCCTTAAGGGGAAAATGAAACTGAAATGAGCTTATTCAAGTGGGCCTTAGCACAACAGGGTTGGTACCCCAGAATAAAAGAAGACCGTGTCTGAACACCTGACAGAGTGAGCACCACTGGAAGCACTGGAGAAGTGGGCCATCTACAAACCATCAGCAGGTTTCTCATGGTTTTGCCTGCATACTATATGTGTGCACTAGATGTGTGCCCGGTCCTGTGGTAGACAAAAGACCTCTGGGACTGAAGGTATAAATGGCACTGAACTGCCATGAAGTGTAGGTATTGGGAATTGAACCTGAGCCCTCTAGATGAACACACACACACACACACACACACACACACACACACATATTCCAAATCTGACAATACTTGACCTTGGAATTCTAGGCTCCAGAACTGAAACTGTTTAACTGTGGGTTAAACTATCTAGTCCTAGACACTCTGTTCTCATGGATCTAGTAGAGAAAAACTAAGGTCACTTCCCTAGTCCTGGCTAATGACAACAATGGCAGCAGTAGGAGTGTAAAAAGTGCCCAGACTCTACACACGGTCTACAGGGACAACCAATGGGATTCACCGGATGGTCTGAATAGGAGCATGAAGGAAAAAGAAATGTTGCCAAGGCTTTTTGCCTGACTAACTAGAAGACTGAGTCTGCCATTATCCGAGATGAAGAAAGAAGAAAATATCATCTTGGGATGAGAAAAAAACCTTGAAACCAGCCTGAGATGTTCTCCATCTGAGGAACCTCCTACACTGTCCAGCTGAGGTTTTAAGTGGGAAACCAGATGTGTGACTTTAAAGTTCAAAGTGGTGGTACAGGATGGATATCTAAATCTCAGAGTCAACCGCACATAGGTGAAACTGAGAACCAAGAAGGTTTCTGGGTGGTGGTACACACCGTCAATCCCAGCACTCTGGAGGCTGAGACAGGTGGGTCTCCGTGAACTTAAAGCCAGCCTGGTTTATAAAGTCTCAGCTCAGCTAAGACTGCATGCACGGTGACACCCTTTCTCAGGCAGCAGGAGACGGATGTGAGTGACGACACACAGAGAAACCCTAGAGCTGAACCTCACGGTCTGATAATTTTTTACAAGTATGAGTTCTTTCAAATCATGCAAACATTTAAAAAAGGCGGAACAGTATTTTTTTTCCATATAGAAATATGGGAGAATTCATATAGAATTGTAAAGAATCTGGCCTCGGTGTGGCTCTGGCAGGTTCATATCCATCTATCAGTTAATTGATTTTGTGCAACCGAGGGTGCACGTGTGTCACAGTATGTACATGGGGCACAGAGGACAACCTGTTACCATCCTTTCTTTCTTTCCATGAGGGCTCTGGGGATGGAACTCAGGTCGTCAGCCTTAGCAGGAAGCCTTAGCTCACAGAGCCTCACATGTACTTTCAGAAATCATGTGCTCACCGAAGACTACCAGCCACGTGGCAAACTAGGGCAAGTCATAATTTTATAGATACCTCCCTCTAGGTTTTAAAAACATATTCTCATGCATAATAATATTATTTTCAAAACTATATAAGAAAATCGTTTTCAAGCAAAGGGTTTTTTCCCTAACCTTGTTTTGCTTAAAACTCCTAAGTGAGGAGTGAATCCTTTTAAGTTTTTGTCGTATTTCAAACTAAATTTTATTTAAGCTATTTAAAAAGTCAATGTGTGCTCCCTAGAGAAGAAAACTCAGCAAATTTCACTCCAGAAATAAATATCTGAGATCCCATGGAAAATACCAGTCTACATGACATTTTCTAAGAGGGGAAAAAAAATAGCTACTAGCAAGCAACTGTGCTTCAGTCCTTAAATAGATTGCTTTTTCTGTTACTAAATATGCAGAATTATACTTAATAAATAATTTTTAGATAGTGTTTATAGTATAAAAGGGTTAGAATACATTGTATTAGTATCATGAAGTCTTAGGTAACTCTCAGTAGTGATCTCATCAGAATGAGTTACAAATAATGAAAGCTCTTTCACTGTATTATATTATAAACTAACATTGCTACCCAGATGGTTCAAACGAGTATCATTCTCACAAAACAAATGATTTAAATTCCTTGCCCCAATTCCATTTTCCATTCCTCATTATCAGCCCCAAGTATACTTGTGTTATTAATATCTACTATTTAGTACATAGGGGTCATGTATTACAAGTAAACAGGGTTTGACTTTAAGTCACCAGTGTTGACTGACCCTTGGAACCAAAGTACAGCCAGCTGCCTCCTTTTCTTGAGTGAGTCAGGCTTCACCCAACACACAACAGCCAGAATTTGTTAGAAATAAAGATTTTTTTTTTGGTCTTCTGAAACCTAATTTTTATTTCTAAAAATAATTTGGAAGGTTAGGGAGAAATACTAACTCCATAACTGTAACCATGCTGTATTACTCTGACACTGGCAGCAGAGGACAAAAGTTGACGGAAATTAATTACAGAAAGCAATAGCTTCAGAGCCACAGTGCCAGGTTTGCCACCTCTGTATTACCCAGTCATTTTCAAGTCAGAAATATCACAATGCTCTCGAGAGTTCGTCCACACTGCTCTCTCATGACAGAGTTCACCCCCACTCTCATTCTCTCTGTCTCTCTCTCTGTCTCTCTCTCTGTGTCTCTCTCTCTGTCTCTGTCTCTCTCTCTCTATCTCTATCTCTCTCTCTCTCTCTCTCTCTCTCTCTCTCTCTTGTTCTCTTTCTCTCTCTTTCTCTCTCCCCCCTTGGAGCTAAGTCACTGGATCATAAATTAGTGGCTTTAAAGAAAATTTGTATCCTTCTGGCCTAATTTACACTCAGGGAGATCTGTAAATACTTCACTCCTCCCCTCCCTGAGAGAGTACTTGCATCGAATCTGAGACAAATGTGAGCTTATAGTTCCAGAAATGGTGGCTTGATTTCAAAAGAATATGGCAAAACAGCCACCAGCCCAGGCAGGTACCTTGCTGCCCCTGCTTTCCCTTCCTGGAGCTCCTCTGTTACTTCCCTGCTGAGGCCAGAAGGCAGACATAAACTACTGAGTACATTTGCCACCTCCATGTCACTTACCGGTTACTGGGGCAGGGGATGTCCCACTGCTGCAGCCGAGGAGCAGGAGAGAATGAAGACCCACCTAGGTTAAATCCAAGAGGCAAGGCTAGAGGCTGGATTCTGGGGGCCAGTTCAAAAATAATGCATGTGGTCAGGCAGCAGAATGTCAGGGCCCCGCGGCCAGCCTTTTATGGCCAAGAAGGCAGATAAATATAGCAGCACATGGGGAGGGTAGTCCCAAACGCAGAGACAAGCATGGCAGGAAGCTGCAGGAGCAGTGGGATTAGGTTAATGGCTCAATGAGTGTGGCCTGATTAAACTGAATAGAGAATTTACTTAAACAGAGGGAGGGTTATACGGCTGCATCCAACATATCTTTACTGCTTTATATTTAAACATACAGTGCAACGAGCGGCTTGTGTCTGGAGCTAAAAACAGGTGTAGGAATCCGATCCACAAAATGGACCTCATGGAATCTTAATGCCAAGATACGGCTTTGTGTGCACTGTTGGTGACACATGCAGCAGAGCGCTGAAAGACAACATGGGAGAAAGGGCTAGAGGCTAAAGGTTAGAGCAGAGGCATTCTGCTTTGCAAAGAACACTCACTGTTCCTCTCTAGGAAAAGTTACAAAGTGAATCACAGCTTCAGGTGCAATTGTTCAATTCCTCCTTTCATTTATTTTATCCTTCCAAACTCAAGAGCAGATTCAGCCTAACTATCTGATTCTTTGTTTCCAACTAATGGTGTAATGAAGGAGAAGTGGCCCAGCCTGATACATAGGCTCCATCCTAAAATCCTTGTGAAGAGAACCACAGCAATGGCGCACATCTGTAATTCCAGAACTCCATGAAACTGGTAATCCCAGGAGTCCTACAGCAAGATGACAGGCAGAGACAGGAGGATCACAGCTAAACTGGTAGGCCAGCTGGCTTAGAGTACTCAGTACAGTGAACAAGACAAACCACACTGCAGCTAAGTGAAAGGAAGAAATGATTCCAAAAGCTGTTCTCCCGTTCTCCCTGTTCTCTCTCTCTTTCTCTCTCTCTCTCTCTCTCTCACTCTCTCTCTCTCTCTCTTGCTCTCTCTCTCCTCCCCTCCCCCACCTTCCCTTCCACCCTTACACACACAGTACAGACACTAACAATAAACAGAAAGTAACCAACTACAATCTATAAACATCAGAAATTATTTGCTTCAAGAATTCTACATAGGCCCACCTGGCAATGGACAAAGAGACCTTGCTGGTGGTGATGTTCTTACATCAGTCAGGGACAGAGCAGTTGGCAGTCCTTTGTTCATCCTAGCTTGATACCTGGCTTGGTGGCCAAAGCTGTCTTATGCGTAGGATTCATAAAAATCAAGTCAAGTCAAATCCAGGCAGCACAGCACAGGAGAAGGAAGATAGACAGACCAGCCTTCCAGTACATGGCACAGGCAGGCCATAGACTCCCCACTTATTGCCATGCCTTGTAGCACAGATGGAGGATGTCACCCAGGATCCTGCCAGCTGCATGCAGTGGGAGCCACCACACTGTCTGAGTATGTGATGGTCAGATGGCAGAGAAAGAGTATGTGGTGGTCAGATGGCAGAGAAAGAGAAGTGGAGCATCCTGAGCGTGACGAAGTGATGGAACTGGAGACTAGAGCGTGGAGAGGTGAGCCCCACCCCCTGAGGCCATGGTGAAGTCCCCGCCTGAGCTGCCATGAGGACCACATCTGAGTTCATGGCTATGCAGTGGCAGGGGGTTGGTGTCAATGTCTATGGTTCATATTACCACTAGCGAAGATGGGGGTTATCCCTGGTCGGGGCAGTGACCTGGGAACATGTGGATGTCCAGGAGGTGTGCGTCCTAGCCCTGCCCCTCACTGGTGTAAGCGCTCTGGAGACCTGGCCACACCTCTCACCAGCAGCAGCACTTGGGAGAGCAATCTGTGAGTCTGACCCAGGTAACACAGTGGAGCTGGTCCTGGTGGCAGGGGTGTGGGTGAGCCCCAAGGGTATAAGTGTGAGAGAGCTGGCCCTGCCACTCACAGGCTGCAGCATGTGGGAGAGTGGACCCTGAACCATGATTGGGTATCACAGTGGAGCTACCTCTGGAGGTGTGGGTGCAGGATAGCCAGCCTCGGGGGCATGAGAGCAGAAGAGTTGACCCTGCCACCTGCCAATGGTGGCACTGGGTGTCCCAACTGGAACAGTGGGGATAAGGAGAGCTGGCGCATGGACCAACTCAGCTACCATTCAGGCCCAGATCCAGGGCTCTGAATTGTTCCACCCCAATATCTATATCATCTGTGAACAGTTGGGACACATGAAAAAGCCAATCCTGCTGTTCCAAAGCTGCAGATCTCCGCGACACAGTGCAACAACAGGATAACCAGGAGGAGGCCTGATGAGCATCCAGCATCGATGGTGTCACAGAAGCCAGAGATCTGGAATCAGACCAATGACTCATTGCAATGAACATTTGCAAGTGAAGATGTGTGGGCAGAGGAACTTACTGTAGGACATACTGTGACACACTACAGCTTCCATGACAAGATGTTTTCTATGCTTTGTTTTGTTGTTGTTGGTGGTGTGTGTATGTGCTTTGGAGGGGTAGGTTCAAGGGTGAAGGACAGATGTGAGGGGGTGGGGAGATGAGCAGGACTGGGGTGCATGATGTGAAACAAAGAATCAATAAAAAGTTTTTTAAAAGGGGATTCTAGTGGTTAGATTTGCCTCACAGAGTTCCAAGAGATTTTCTTATTTTCTGCAGTTTATTGTGATCATGTTATCTATAAAAAAAAACTTAATTCTATAATTCCAGTCCTCTATTGGAATAGAGAGAGGAAAAAAGAATTCTAGATAGTTTCTTTCCTTGAGGTAATGATTGGTTTTAAGGTAGATACACATTTTTCTCTTTAAACTGATTAGAAAAAATGTTAGTGTTTTCAGAGTAGAAGATAATGGTGAACTAAAAGACAAGATAAATGTACAAGTTGCGTCTAGCCCCGAGAACTCTGCCAGCTCACTTTCATTCTAGAGAAGGACACAGAGTAATTAGTAGCAGATCACTACTCTATGTATGGGGAGGGGGGCAGGGATGAAAGAAGCATCGTTCCAGAACAAAATGTGAAGAAAACAAATAAGGACTAAGCCCCACCTAAAATTACGAACGCCTTTTCCTAAGCTGTCAGCTTTAATGCACGACTAAAACTCACAGATCAACAACATGAAGAAAGAAAAATTTGCATCCATTTGGTTTGGTTCACAAAGCATTTCCAGACAGCCTATCAACGAGTGCAGCACTGTGGTACACCCAGCACACCGAGGCACAGCACAGCAGAATGGGAAGTCCCTAGAGATGATTACATCGTGCCAGAATAGGTAAAAGAATAAGGGATGCTGATTAGAGCTTCATAAAACAAAACCTGAAAGAATCCCTCGCCTTTAAAAGACAGGACTAAAGGGAAACCTAGTGTTATGTTACGAAAGGAAGGAACATGAGTGATCCTGGCCCTGTGGTTAAAATTTCCTTCTCTGTCCAATGAAGATCCTCTAAGCTTAACAAAAATCTTAGCTGAATAATTCCATGAACTCTTTTGAAAGCTGCAGCTGGAGTTACCTATAATTTGCATGATAACTAGCTTGTATCCTCTCTAGCTTAAAGTTGCTCTGTGTATGTGTGTGTGTAGTATGTATATGTGGTGAGTGTGTGTGTGTGTATATGTATGTGTGTGAATATGTGTATGTGTGTAATGAGTGTGTATTTGTATGTGTATTATATGTGTGTCTATGTGTTGTGTGTCTGTGTATGATGTATGTGAGCATGTGTGTATATGCATGTGATTGAATGTGTGTACTGTGTGTGCTGTGTATGATGTGTGTATGTGAACATGTGTATATGTGTGTGGTGTTTATGTGTGTATTTGCATGTGTATTATGAGTGTGTGTATGTGTTTGAATGTGTATGTGTAGTATGGATATGTGATGAGTGTATGTCTGTGTATATGTATGTGTGTGAATGTGTGTGTGGTCTGTATGTGTATATGTGTGTTGTGTGTCTGTGTGTGTGATGTATGTGAGCATGTGTGTATATGCATGTGTGTGAACATGTGTGTATGTGCGTGGTGTTTGTGTGTATTTGTATGAGTGTGTATATGTGTTTGAACATGTGTGTGGTGAGTCTGTGAGTATGTGTGTATATGCTGTATGTATGTGAATGTGTATATGTGTATCACATATACATCTGGTATCTAATCTTGCTGTTTATTGAATGACTTCACCTCTAAAGCTCCGAACCTACATTTGCTCTCTAGTTGTCGCTAGATTGATTTTTTGGTGTGTGTGTGTGTGTGTGTGTGTGTGTGTGTGTGTGTGTGCTTTCAATCTAGAGCATGACTTCTACTCTGTCTTCACCTATAAATGGATCTTGAACATTTTGTTCTAAAATAGGAAAGTGCCTGAAGTTGACATCTCACCTCTGAAATGCCCCTTCATTGGTATGGGTTTTTGGGTTTTTTTTGTTTTTGTTTTTTTGGTTTTTTTATTTTTTGGTTTTGTTTTTTGAATGTTTTTAATCTCTAATGTCCCTGAAAATAATCCAGATGTGTTTGTGTTAACATTAAAGGCTGTGGTTTGCAAATGGGGGGGGGGGGGTAGTGAGGAAGACAGGAAAGAAGGGAGGATGGGAAGGCAGGGCCTCGAATTCTTATGAGAAGCCAAGTTTCACCTAGTTATTAAACGAACCAGTTCTGAACTAGATCTAGAGCTAAAATTAGAACTAGTTATCTGAGCACTGGCAAAATGAAGCCAATACAGTCTCCATCAGGCCCTGCAGACTATGAATTGCCCCAGCGACCTCCCTCTACACTGGGTAGAAGGGAAGGATGTCTGGGTCAGTGGTCCTGGAAAAGGGCAAACCTGTGATGGTACAGCTCTAGCAGATATGTAATAAGACAGGGTCTCAACATCCACTCGGATCCTGTCTACTCCCATGTCCCTACTGTCAGCTCTATGCCACCAGTAAGCTCAAACAGTTTCACAGAGGGAGGCCTTGGTTTTCTGTGGAATGCTGCACTCAGGTATTTAAATATTAGTATCTTTCTATTCTTTTCTGTTGCCCATATTTCCTTCTCTCGATTCTTTCCTCTATCACAGGAACCTTAATTTTACCAGACCCTCTGTGTTAGTTATGTTTCTCACTACTGTGAGAAATAGCTGAAATCAGGAGGAAAGGCTTGGTCTGCAGGTCGAGGCTGTGGTTCATGTCAGCAGGGAAAGCATGGCTTCAGGATCAAGTAAGCCACAGGTGGTGCTGTGTTCACAGTCAGGGAGCAGAGGGAGAGATGCATGCTGGGACTCAGCTGACTCTCTCCTTCTCATTCAGTCTGGACCCCCAGACCATGGAATGGTGCTACCCAAACTCAAGTTAAGTCTTTCCTGCTCAGTTAACCCTTTCTGGAAACACTCCTAAAGATGTACCCAAGGTATATTTCTATAGTGATTTTAATTCCTATCAAATTGACAACCAAGATTAACTATCATACTCTCCATGTTCGCTTGAGGAGAGAAGCCCTTGGCTGCTAAGGTGTAACTGGCCTAGCATTGTTGGTTAGATCTGCAGAGACTGATCAAACACTTCTGTTGCACAAGCAGAAGTAGCCCATGGCACTAGTAGAAACTCTCATGCAGAGGTGAAGGGGTACCCTTGGCTTCTGCCACCACCCTAGATCCAAACCCCAGCCTTGACACCTCTCTTCCTAGACAACATCTTCTGCAGGAAAGAAGGCAGAGTTTAATATGAATGGGGCAGCATCTTAAATGACAAGCAGGGCCCGAGTACTAGGTGAGCCTTAATTATACCTTTACTATATCCTAAGATACCCCACTGTGTCCAAGATGATGAGAGGGTAACTGGACTGTTTTAACCTTGACCCATACCCCGCTCTCAGCACGCCCCTCTGCCCTCCACTGGTGAATAAAAGGCTCTGTGAATGCCGACTTCTCTTGCCGCTAAACACTAAGAGCAGTCAGGCAGCTGTCTGCTCTGTCTCTTTCCTTTTCTTTCTCCTCACCTGACCCCCCCCTTCCTGTGATTCTGACAGTCTCTTTGCTTGGTTTGAGCGGTAATGTTTCCCTCATTGTTAACTAATGTGTCATCAAACAATGTTTGAAGTCCCAGAGACAGAAAATTTGAAATGTTGCATTTTGAGAATAATGATGGCTTCATCCTTGTTTCACACAAAAGGCAGTAGAGCTAGAAGAAACTTCACTCACCAATCCATTTACTTTCCAGATCAACAGACACATTGTATGTAATTTGTCAAAGTTGTCGGCAGCTGTGAAGCCCTCACGCATCAGCACTAAGATACACTGTCACAAAGCCTGGGCAGTATGATGAACCACAGCAAACCAGGTCTAATGCAGGCAGAATGAGGGCTGCAGCGGGGGACAGAGGATGTGTACAGGCAGAGCTCACTCCTCCTCTCTCCTTTAGAACCTTCTGGGTCCTCTTTGCTTTCCTAGCTACCCTCCTTAACGCAGTTTAGGGGATCTTGGCCATTAGACCCACATACTACTCCAGTCCCACCTCTCTCTGGTTTTCTGTTTTGTCCCTTCCAACCACAGCAATTCCCCAAGCACTGGGACTTGAAAGCCTCAGTTCCTCCACATACGCCATTCCTTTGTTTGCCTAGTAAACGTCTATTTATCTCCTGTACTACGAGATACCTGCAGACAAGAAGCCAGTCTTCTTGTGTGTAAGATTCCCGTGTCTAGCATTATTCTTTACATATGATGAGCATTTGATAAGGAAGCAGGGACTACTTAAGAGGTGGAAAAACAAGAACTATGGGGCAGCCAGGCACAGGATCAAGAGACAAGTAAGAGATCAGAACAGGTTTCAGTACCATCTACCCTATGTTTGTCTCTAGTGCTGGTGATGGAGCCAGCTAAACCACCATGAGCATGCTACAAGAGTCAGGTTCATGGAGACAGAAAGCAGAATGGCAGGTGCCAGGGGCTGGGGTGGTGTGTTTAATGGCTATGAAATGTTGGATAGGGGAGGTGAAGAGTTCTACAGGTGAACAGGAGTGGTGTATTCTATGCCACAGAATGGTTAATGTGGTAAAAAGTATGTGTGTATGTGGGGGGGGTGTCCTTGATTACTCATAACTGTTCTGCATGACCAGTTCACCACCTATCAGTCCTGGATGCTGAGAGCCCCAGCTTTCCAACAGATAGACTTGCATCTAGTGGATCAGAGAGAGGCAAGAAAGGACTGTGCTCCCCAAAAGGAGGCAACAGCTCCAGAAGGAATAACTGCTGCTTGCGTGAGTGGCAGGGGTGGACCCTGGTTCCTACTGTCCTCATCCAGCTGCATGCATTACTTCCTACTCTGTCTGCAGTCATCCACTCAGCCATATTACTGTGCGCACTGTATTACTCCCGTGTGCTTTGTTGCCCAGTCTAAGTGCTGAGCACGAGCATATTTCCAGGACTTGTATGACCGGGGGGAGGGGGGAGCAGCAGGTACACCATTATTTCCATCAACCATGTGTGTTCTTCTGAGAGGCCTTTTAGCTTCTCTGGCTCTTGTGTTTTCATAGGTCCCTGGATAGAGGGGCAAGAGTAGTTCTCCTTCCTAGGTCTATGTCAGGCTCACCTGGGGAGCTCACCTGTATTCTAGAAAAATCACCTCAGAATCTCTGGCACGGGACATAGATGCTTTCTTTAAAGCTCCAAGATGATTCCAACAGATAACATAAGAGGAAAAAATCAACTCACCTCTTTTAGTTATAAAATCACAAAACCCTCTGAACTAGAAAGAAAGCTATAAATATCTGTCCGTACAAAAGTGTTCCTTTTCAATTATTTGCTTAGGAAGTATTTTTCCAGATGGTACTACGAATTCCAGGGTATGTTTTATGGGACTGCCATTTGGAAAAATCAGGTCGATTTATAGTGTCAGAAATCAAATCTATTATATTGTTCCTCAGTACCCCATTAATACCACAATGTTTGCCAGTGTAGTGACTCGTGCTTATCATAGGTAGTGCCAGCAGGAGGATCATGAGTTCAAACCCAGCCTGTCTCAAAAACAAAAGAGAAAAATTAGAATATTTGGATTATTTTGTTAAAACATTCAACCGATATAAGAAATATCTACTTTTTTTTTTTTTTTTGAGACAGGGTTTCTCTGTATAGCGCTGGCTGTCCTGGAACTCACTCTGTAGACCAGGCTGGCCTCAAACTCAGAAATCTGCCTGCCTCTGCCTCCCAAGTGCTGGGATTAAAGGCATGCGCCACCACCGCCCAGCTTGTCATCCTTGCGCAGGGGCCATGCTAATCTTCTCTGTATCATTCCAATTTTAGTATATGTGCTGCTGAAGCAAGCATGAAATATCTACTTTTAAATGCATTATAAATTTCTTTGTTGGACTGGACATCCTTAAAGTTAACGATTTGGTTTTCCTCTTGGGTGAGATATCTTTTGGCTCTGACATAAAATATATGTGAGATATATCAATCTACAGGTAGATTTCTTATAACACCATTAAGCTGTTATAAATATCCAGCACTGCTGAGAACTCCAATGTGTTGCATACCATGCCGGTTCTTTACAGATACTGTTTTAACCAAGTCTCTGAAAGATTTTACTATCCCAAAGTATGAATGAAAAAAATAAAGTTCAGAGAGATCAGGCAGGGCTGCTTCTCCGATTCGCTAAAGTTACTGAAAGTCACAAAATTAGTAAAGTACTATGCTTTAACTCCATTTCCAACACAAGTCTGCTCATGACACACAAGGTAAGCACTCTGTATCTGCGGTCATTCTCTCTCTCTCTCTCTCTCTCTCTCTCTCTCTCTCTCTCTCTCTCTCTCCCTCCCTCCCTCCCTCCCTCCCTCCCTCCCTCTCTCTCTTTCCAGATTCTCAGACACACACACACCCTTTCCTGAGCAGCATAGCTATTCAGCTTACAGTGCCTGCTGTGAGCAGCATAGCTATTGAGCTTACAGTGCCTGCTGGGGTTCTTGCTCTTCAATCCCAGATGACGGTGAACTCCAGATTCAAAAGTACCTGATGTATATCCTAACCAGCAAGCAACCTACAGAATGAGGATTGGCTCAAAAGATTACGTTGGCAAAATGAAGCTAAATTACATGTGTCTCTTTGAATTGGAAATATTGTTACAACACTTAGTAGCAGGAACTAAAAGTCAAAAGGGCTAAACCAGGAGATGACATGAGTATATTTAGAATGAGGTAAACCAGGGGCTGGAGAGATAGCTCAGTGGTTAAGAGCATTGACTGCACTTCCAGAGGTCCTGAGTTCAAATCCCAGCAACCACATGGTGGCTCATAACCATCTGTAATGAGATTCGATGACCTCTTCTGGTGTGTCTGAAGACAGCTACAGTGTATTCATATATAATAAATAAATAAATCTTTAAAAAAAAAAATGAGGTAAACCATGGTGTGGTGGTTCGTATATGCTTGGCCTAGGGAGTGGTATTATTAGGTGTGGCTTTGTTGGAGGAGGTGTAACCTTGTTGGAGGAGGTGTGGCCTTGCAGGGGTGTGGCTTTGTTGGAGAAGGTGTAACCTTGTTGGAGGAGGTGTGGCCTTGGAGGGGTGCAGCCTTGTTAGAGGGGTGTGGCTTTGTAGGAGGTGTAACATTGTTGGAAGTGTGGCCTTGTTAGAGGAGGTGTGGCTTTGTTGGAGGAACTGTGTTTTGTGGGAGTGGGATTTGAGACCCTCCTGCTAGCCACATGGGAGCCGGTCTTTTCTTGTCTGCCTTTGGATCAAGATGTAGAACTTTCCGCTCCTCCAGCCTCACATTTGCCTGAACGCTGCCGTGTTCCCACCTTGATGATAATGGACTGAACCGCCGGGCGGTGGTGGCGCAGGCCTTTAATCCCAGCACTTGGGAGGCAGAGGCAGGCGGATTTCTGAGTTCGAGGCCAGCCTGGTCTACAGAGTGAGTTCCAGGACAGCCAGGGCTACACAGAGAAACCCTGTCTTGAAAAACAAACAAACAAACAAACAAACAAACAAAAAGATAATGGACTGAACCTCTGAAACTGTAAGCCAGCCCCAATTAAATGTCGCCCTTTGTAAGAGTTGCTTTGGACATGGTGTCTCTTCACAGCAATGGAAACCCTAATTAAGATACAAACCCTGTCTCGAAAAACCAAAAAAAAAAAAAAAAAAAAAAAGATACTTGGCAAACTGAAGTTCTGAGGAGCCCCAAGCTAAGGTAGTTGAGGAAGGCAATTGGTAGAGGACCAGCAAAACCAGCTGCAGTGCAATCAGAGAACGACCGTCTGGCCCATGAGGCACAACAGCAAGAGGCCAGACCCTGGACTCCTGGGTTTGTGTGCTTCCCTAAAGTTTTTCTCCTGAACTCTTTGAACTGTGTCTCTATTCCTTCCCATTGAACAAGTGAAAATACAGTCGTGTATTAAACATTTTATGTTCTGGATATTATGCTTATATTTGTCCTATTTGTCACAAAACATTTCAATTTTTTTCCTTTTTATCTTCTTTTATGAAAACAGAACCGTAAACAACACTTCCACTTATTAAAAAAAAAAAAAATCTCATTCATGTAAACTCTACTAACATAAAGGGACTGGTGGCTGCCTGGGGTTGGAGAATGGGAGAAGCTGGAGAAATCGGAAGATGCTCTGCAATGCTCCCAGGGGTGAGGTGAGCACTCACTATCATAAATGTGGTGATGGCTTCACAAGAATATGCATATGTTAACAAAATTTATCTCACTGTATTGCACAGTTTGAATGTGTTATTAATCAGTGTTAAAAATACCTTAAAGCCATTTAAAACTTTCATACTCTTCCCAACAAAGATGCAGGACTCCATTCCCCAAGTTACTGTGCTTATGTTTATGAACGACATGACTGCAGTTGGTTGCCACACATACTGTAAGAGCTAGGTTATTCCCAGGGCTGCTCTTGAACTTGATCTGCCAGGCAGGACTTGTATTTGCCGTTGTCTGTGTATTGAGCCTCCTGAGTATCCGGGGTACTGGGCCTGCACCACTGGATATGGTTCTCAGTTTCTGTATTTTGTTTTCCAGCAGAATTTCATTTTAGAAAAGATGTCTTGCATTACTATTACTTATTACACTTTGAAAAACAGGTATTGACCTTAGTCGTTTCAAATTTTTACCTTTTTTTTTTTTTTGATCCTTTGGCTAATTTTCTGCTTTTAAACTTAGTAGTATCTGGTTTGGAGGAATTTTGTTCATTTATAATGCTTTAAGGCTATGCTGAGACACGGTCTTTCATGAGGCATTTTATATAAAATGATTAAACATAGATTTACAGTCCTCATATTAGACCCTGAGGGTGGTCTGATCCTCCTGCCTTGACCTCCCAACTGCTCAGGTCATAGGCTGCACTGGCACTCTGAGCTTCTGAAGTACAGAGGAGCAAACTCAGGGCTTTGTGCTTGAAGCACTCTGACAGCTCTGCTACATCCCCAGCCTCAGTCCCATGAGCTTTCACCTCGATTATCACTCCCCAACTTAAAAATAATTTTGATTACTTATTTTGAATAATCTTGTGTGAATGTATGAAATTTCAAAGAATCAATGATAATACTACATTGAAGAGATAAGTTTGGGGGCTGGGAAGAAGGCTCAGCAGTTAAGACCAATTGTTGCTCTTGCAGAGGACCTAGGCTCAGTTCCCAGCACTTACCTGGTGGCTTACAGACATCCAGAACTCGAGTTCCAGCAGATCCAACACTCTTCTGACCTCCAAAGGTCACACTACACACACACGCATGCAAGCAAAACACACACACATAAAATAAACTAAACAAATATAAAACGTTTTAACAAAAAAGCTATTGACTGCCAGGCAGTGGTGGCGCACGCCTTTAATCCCAGCACTTGGGAGGCAGAGGCAGGTGGATTTCTGAGTTCGAGGCCAACCTGGTCTACAGAGTGAGTTCCAGGACAGCCAGGGCTACACAGAGAAACCCTGTCTCGAAAAACAAAAAAAAAAAAAAAAAGAAAGAAAGAAAGAAAAAAAGCTATTGACTAAATTTAAAAACAAAAAAACAGAAATTCTTCATTCACATTGACTTTTCTATACACTTTTAATACAGTGTTTGTAGTCTATTTGTAGCTCTGGTGTTCCAAGTTTAATTATCAGATTTAGTTAAACATCTCTCCATTTAAAAGACAAGAGCTCCTCCTACTGTTTTCCTAGACTAATAGATTAAAGCTCATTGTTACATCACACACACACAGAGAAAGAGAGACAGAGACAGAGAGAGAGACAGAGCTATACATATACAGAGAGAGAAAGACATACACACACAGAATCATACACACGCAGACATACACACACACACATACACAGAGAGAAAGAGACATACACAGAGAGACAGTCATACACACAGAGAGAGACATACATGCATAGAGAGAGAGACATACAGAGAGAAAAACACACAGAGAGACATACACATATACAGAGAGAGCGAGACATACACACAAACATACACACATACACAGACATACAGACACAAAGAAACACACTTAAGATTCTTTAAAAAATAGAAAACAGCCGGGCAGTGGTGGCGCATGCCTTTAATCCCAGCACTTGGGAGGCAGAGGCAGGCGGATTTCTGAGTTCGAGGCCAGCCTGGTCTACAGAGGGAGTTCCAGGACAGCCAGGGCTACACAGAGAAACCCTGTCTCGAAAAACAAAAAAAAAAAAAAAAATAGAAAACAGGTTTTTCAATTGTGCTAACTAGCTAAACACACCAAAGTTAAGTAGTCAATTACCAAATATTTGTTGGTATTCATACAAAATTAGAAGGGCAGGAGTTGGATTTCTCTCCTATCCCTGGAAAATCAAAGACATAACTTACACTTTTGGCTTTTTGTATGACTATTTAGATAACCTGTACAAATAACTGAAGAATCTTGAATCTTGGCCTGTGTAAGAAAAGCAAACTTTAACTCCTGCCCCATGGGGCTGTGGTAAGAGTTAAATGTTACATAAACACCTGGCATATGCTGGGCACATGGTAACTTCAGCTCCATTTTTCTCTTTAGACCTGACCTCAGAAAACAAATAAATGTCTTACTATGAGGAAGGAAAAAGGAATTCTGTCATTTGGTACTCATAGTATCCCCAAATCATCACTTAATACTGAGCCCCCAAATCAGTAGTATAGTCTTTTCTCAATCTTAGCCCTTCGGGCACCATCTCTGACTTCTACTCTCTGTGTGCCAGAAGCAGACCTCCGGTTATGAGGATGCAAAATGTCTCCTGACGTTGGTGGAACATGACCTCATGTTTTAGTGGGACTGGGTGTGATTTTGAGGGAGGACCCCTAGGAATTGTATACATATATATA